ATGAAACCGAGGGCTACAGACAAATTCAAACTGAACCAGAAGTATATAAATATTATCTAAAATATTCTAACTTCATTAAGTCTGGCGTCGACATTCCTGATTTGAATAGAACATTGCCTGCCTGAAAAGTTTTCTGAAAACAACACCTTTACCCGGGTTCCATAGTCAATTTACGTCATAGCAGTGACCACAATTTCTTTTCTCACCCTACGTAAATCCAGAAGTGACGCTTTTCTAAGCAGCGGTACGAAAAACTAATTTTCGCTTGTCACATTATAGAAAACTTTAAAATATATAAAAATGATTTATTTATGCAAAACAGATTATAAGCTGGTCAATCGAGTGATTAACAAGTATCGACGTTCTGGCTAGCCTTTCAGGAGCCTTCTTCAGGCTGACTCGAGTTAATTTATGAGTAGTTGATGGATCCCGGCATTGTTCAATTCGCGCAGATTTCACGATCTGCCCCGGTGCCATTTTCGCAGTTTCTATGTTTAACGATGCTAACGCAATCTAACCATTGGGGGACATGATCAGTAAGCTGCGTGCTCCCGGAGGGCTTTTCGCGTTGTTCTTCGACCCTGTTAGCATACAGGTTTTGTTTCCTTCCTAAATGCCTTGTTGCTGCATGTCGTTCATCATCTTTAGCTTGACAGGTAGGTCCATCACCGCTATTTCGGCTATACGTTTCTGATAAACATGTTGCTGTTACTTGGTCCAGTACACACAGCATCTTTGTATCCATACATCCTAGTAGCTGTCATATGACGAAGCCATTGTAATTACAGATATTCCAACCCCTTTGAAGGAAATTTTCTATTATGAAATACCCGCATCTTACACTTTCATGATCAGACCATTTATGGCATCTTTCTTCCCATGAATTTAATGGTGGCGCGCTTTCAATTTGCTTGCCATCAGCCAAAATTGCCATATTTCAAAAAGTCGACAACAGTTGTAGCATAGGTATAATTATCTATTTCATTCCCGATGGTAATCTTTCATCAACCTCAAACGAACAATCAGCGATCCGGCAGGGTTCTTTAGGTTCTAAGCCAGATTCTGTACCAACTGAATAACCTCGGTCTAAGAACCTTTGCCCCTTTAGAATTAAAGGAACATCGAACTTAAAACCTGCAGTTCAGACAAGATATTAATTCTTAGGGACATTGCATAACTTGGTTGAAAGTACTCTGATCCTCGCTTATGAGCCAACTCCGGCAGCTATTGAGTCAGGTTATGAATTTAATGTCCACGTAGCATAGCGAATTTGTGCTACATTATCCTTTCCTTTCAAATGCCGTATGTAGTCACGGTCAATTTACTAAAAAATGCTACAATTAGCCATTAACGAGGAAGAGGGCGATTTGATAGAACACGATTCTGTTCACACTGGGCACTTATATCAGCAACCTTCAGAACAGTATTGTAATAACTATGATCTTAACAGTACTGAGGAATCAAACTG